CTGAAAAGAGAAAGAATGCCAGCAATGACTTTGAAAAAGATCTGTTTAAGTTAATGAATAATAGCATATACGGCAAGACCATGGAGAATGTAAGAAAGCATGGTGATTTTGAAATTGCCAATACGCTTGAACGCTTCCAAAAACTTGCAAATAAAGCGCTATTCAAACACAGACATATCATAAATGAAGACCTTGTAATCGTTGAAGAAGACAAACGCACAGTGGAACTAAGCAAGCCTATCTATATGGGTATGTCTATTTTAGACTGTTCTCAAATTCACATGTATTCCCTCTATTAATATGATGTTTTGAAACCAAAATATCAAGATAATATTAAATTGGTCTATACTGATACTGATAGTTATGTAATCAAAGTTGAGACTGATGAATTATATGAAGACTTTGAGGAGATAAATGAACACATGGATTTCAGTGATTATCCAGCAGAACATCCAAATCATGATAAATCAAGAAGGTATTACTTAGACGGGCTGTGTTTTTATAACTAGTTATGTTGTTATTTTACATTTAGTAACTATGTGTTAACTGTATACTAACAATGTCTTAACTATACTGTAACACATTATATTTTCTTTAACTTGTTAACATAATTACTAACTTTTATAGAAAACTACATAACTAACATAATTATGTTAATTAAGTTAAAAAGTTAGCAAAATTATAACTAGTTAGCTCAAGACTTTACATCTAACTACAAGAACCATTTATTATCCAACAAAGGATAAAATTAAAGCCTGTAGGTGTATCTATGTTATTGAAAAATGTGTTTTTAACTTAAAAACGCAATTTTTTGTCGACAAATTCCCAATCAAAACAACATTGGTTTGAAGCCCGATGTCCATTAGCTGCATGGCTAACCATGTCTATCAGTTGCATGACCAACCATGTCCATTAGCTGTATGGCTAACATTGTCCTTTAGCTGCTTGTCAATTGGCTGCATAGCTAGAACCATGTCCATTAGCTGCATGGCTAGCCATGTCCAGTGTTGTGAAAAGGCTTGACAGTCATTGCGATTGTAGCATTTTTGTTTTCAGCTGTCTCTACACTCAGCCATGGAAGTTGAAGCTGGTGTAGAGATCTCACATGTGGTGAGCCTGAAGTACACTGGGAAGAAGCATTCGATCCCAGAGGCCTTGATTGTTCAGGATGCACTTGGCAATGAATATCTGAAGCTGGCAGCCACCAACCAAGTGATCTTGAGGTTGATCTGTGGCATTTGCAAGAAGAATTCCTCTCTGGCTGGTGGACAGAAACTTGGGGAGCTCAAGCAGCAAAGGAACCAGAAAGCTGGCATTGCAAAGGCTGAGCAAGAGGATGAAGAATGGCCTGGAGAGCATGCTGATTCTTCAAGTGGAGCCCCCAACAGACAGAAGAGATCTCAGAAGGTGGTGACCTTGGACATTGGTGGTACAGATGTGTGCATCTTGCGCCCAGCCAAGAGGCTGGCTGCTGCTGATTTGATGGTGAAGATGGACAGTGCAATGCTATTTGCAGTTTTTTAATTCCTCAAAGAGGATTGTGAAGATCATGGTCGGGCCAGCAGGAAGTATCAGAGGACTGGCCAATATAGGAAAGCTGGTGGTGGCAGGGATTCTGAAGAAGAACCTGCAGAGTGACACTCCAACCTGAAGGGAAAACTGGGTGTTCAGCACTTCAAGCACATGTTTTGCTGACATGCTGGTGTCTTAAGCCTGGCCTGTGATAGATTAGCCACTATATATAGGCTGGTAAGTGATGCAAAAACATCAAGTCCCATTATCCATTTTGGATTTGATGAAAGATTGATTGTCAAAGCAGATCTCAAATCACATTATCCTAGTGGATTGAGTTTCATTTTCCATGCTGGAGTCACATTATCCTACAATGGATTGACACTCATCATCACATGTGAAATCACATTATCCTAGTGGATTGGCACTCATGATGAATTTTAGAATCACATTATCCTAGTGGATTGACAGCCAATATGCATTTGTGCTTTGGTACTTCCATTGGATGCCTCTTTTCACTATGTTTGCTTTGCTTCTGCTGATTTCATGACACTCAAGTTGATGCTTGAAAATGTGTTACACAAAAGCATGCAAATGTGTTACACAAAAGCACGCAAGCAATGTACATGGAACAAACTTACTTGCAAGTTTGCGTCAGAACAAAACTTACTTGCAAGTTTGCATCAGAACAAAACCTTGCAGTGTGAAGCCATGGATGGTGATACAAAAGCAATCATGGAAAAGTTGCTTGCAGAAAAGATTGGAATCAACAAGAAGCTGCAGGGAATCTTGCCCCTGCTGACACTTGCAAATTATGCATACGGAATCAAGCTGAGGCCATCAGCTTTGATGGTTCATGACAAGAACCGTGGAGGAGCCATGCTGAATGCCTGGGATGTACACAGAAAAGGCGCTGCCATTTTGGATGCAGGCTTGCAGCCTAAGCTTGTGATTCCTTCATCAATATGCATCGAGATGGCCAGTGATGGGGAAAGCAGGAAGAGGCAGTTGAATGCCAATCAGAACCTTGCTGCAACTAGCAGTGGCATGCTGCCGGCTCCAATTGGCGATGAAAGATGCCTTAAACTTGGAAACTCCCACTGGGTGATGTTTTGCAAAGCATTACAGGCTGGATGCGTCAACCCAAAAGGCCAGCAGCTGCACACACCTGCAGAGCTTGAGAAATTGATGGCTGAGGGGTGGGAACGGCAAGCCATTTCAGAAAAGGTTGAGCAACCCTTCCCCTCATTCCCCAGTTTGTGCCAGAGTGCTTTGAACAGTGTCAACTCCAACGCAACCTCCACTGGAGAGCTTGAGGCCATGCTACAGCTTGCAAGCTATTTGAAGAGTGGTGCTACTTTGTCAGACGCTGTGGAAGCAGTTCATGCAGCACAGCCAGTGTGTGGTCACTATTTGCAAGACATTGCCACCTTTGTGAAGCTCTACACTGGTGGTGAGGATTTCCCATTGTTGGATCAGCTCAAAGGCTTCTGTGTTTTGATTGCATACATACATATATATATATATATATTTACAATAAACACAATCATTTCCCAAAACCAATTTGCACGCAGTATCTGCAAAGTTTTGTAAGAAGTATATCACTTCAACATGGTGTGAAATTGGAACTATCAAGGCAAGAGATTTGGCCCCAGCTTGCCATTGGAGAGGAAATGATGGGCCTGCTGGCCAACTTTGACTTTAAACAAGATGGAAGCCAATTGGTGATGTGCAGAATTGCATTGCTACATGCCATACTTACATCTAAAAGATGCACAGATGGCTACTCCAAGCTCATTTTCAAAAGTGACCTAGACAAAATGAAAGGTTCACTCAAGGACAGCACAAAGCAAATTGAAGATTTGCTGCTTGGAGCTTGGAAGCAAACCTTGGCTGTCATGAAGACTGGTGAAGGTGAGAAGGCAAGCTTTGCCTTTGGAAAGCTGTCAGTGCGATTGATCTTGGTTCTGCTGGCAAAACAAAAGCGCAGCAGAGACACAGTGGAGTTTGATTCCTTTGAAGAAGTGGCCCAGAGGTTTACAGATGAGTTGACTGGCAGGACAATTTCCAGATCAAGCCATGCAGGTGACGAGAAAAAGGTTGTCTGCCGCAAAGTTCAAGACCTTTTGGAGGCCTCTGCTTCAGACATGGCTTTGCTCCAAAACCCCCACCTCACATTGGGCTCCAAGCATCTCACTTGATTTGAACCGTTTTGCTATTGTGGTTTCTTGTTAGTTTTATCAAAAGACCTGCAGCACTGACAAAAGCAAGCAAGGTACTGCCACCCAGATCACCCTGATCAGATCTTCACATTCACCAAAGTTGATGCTGATAGCATGGTGTTTGTTTGACAGCAGCATCGTGATCCACGCAGACTTCCATTCTTTGAAACAATGGAAGGTGACCAAACAGCAGCCACCACTTCTTTGCCCTGTTGAACTGATGAAGTCCAGGACTGGTACTTCCAGTGATTGCAGCACCTCCCTGGTGACCAGCTGCTTTTCTCACTGCACCCTTCCAATGTGTTTTGCTCCACCAAGGTGAAAAAGAATGAGATCAGTTTGTATCCAGTTGGTGTGGTGCACATGGTAAAACCAGCTGATGTTCCAAAGATCAAAGGTATTCACTTGAAATACAAGGGCTTTGATTGGACTTTGACACCCTACAGATCATTGCCTGCTGACAGCAAAGCAGGCTATTTAGTCGCATACAACTGGGTTCAAACAGCAGAGGAAGAAGAGGAAGCAAACATGACAGTGAAGTGGCTGACTATCAGAGGCTTAAGCCTTCCTGTGTTGCAGAATTGTGTCCCCTTGTCAAAGCATGATGCTTTGGTCAGGACAGCCATCACACCACCTGAAAAGGTGGAAGGCATTCCTCCCAGCAAGAAGAGGAAGACAAAGTAAATTGTTTTGCTGGCTGACAGTGTCTTTTTGGGAAAAGTCTTCAATAGTGCGTCAATGGTTTTCACAGCTTCTCACTTTCCTCTCTTGCAGCCTCAAGTCCCATTAGCTTTTGTTGCTGATGTTTACCTGCTACAGCAATTAGCCCTTGGGCTTGGAACCAGCTGACATTTTGTGAGCACATTAGCCAATGGGCTTCAATCTTGCGCCTGAAACCTGTTGACATTGTTTGAAGCACATTAGCCAGTGGGCTTGGAAATTTGATGTGTTGGAAAGCAATTAGCCTTCAGGCTTGAGCTTGTTTCTAATGTATCTTCCAATTAGCTTCTGGCTTCATACAAACTGTGTGCCTTCAAAGAAACAATCGGACACTTGTACATACTTTTCCTGGCAGGTGTGAAGCTTGCTCAAGCTGCAGGCCAGGCATGAAAAGAACAAATGCCTGGCCTGATGACTGGGGGTCAGGTAGCTACAAAGCCATGAGACCACCACAGATGGCCAGAAGCAAACTGACCACAACAAGGACTATGAGGATGGTGACAAGACATGGTGGGAAGCAAAGGGCTATTGGGATGGCTATAAGTCCTGGTGGGATGGCTATAAGTCCTGGTGGGGTGGCTACTGGCAGGATGACTTCAAGGGCTACACATCCTGGCAGGATGACTACAAGGACTACAAGTACTACTGGGCTTGGCCTGGCCATGAAGCCAAAGAGGAAAAGAATGACCAGCATGATGAGTGGACCTACACACAAGACCTCAAAGAGCAACAAAAATGGTATGAAGCAGGATGGAAGACCCAGGAGGCTATGTGGGATGCAGACTTGGCAAAACAACAAGCAGCCCAGGAAGCAGGACACAACTATGAGCTGTGGATGACAGAAAAGGCCGGATGGGATGGCTATGTCCAGGACTATGATGAGGAGCAAGCTGCTTCTGAATGGCCAAGGCCATCTGCAGAGTCTCAACCTGAGCCCTATGTCCCAGACATGTGGGTTGAGAAGACAGTGCATGAAGCCTTCAAGGGTCTTGAAGAAGCTCCACAACCAAAGGCTGCAGCAGAAGCTTCTGCTGCAGGAAGTACTTCTGAGACAGAACTGGCTCCTGATGAAGAAGAATCTGAAGCAAAAAGAGATTGCTCTGCTTTTTTTTTCCTCCCAGCCCTGCTCTCTGTAGGGCTTCGCATTGATGCGCGATACCCGAAACACATTTCAACACAACCACAAAAACCATTTCGGGCATCATTCTCCTGGTGTTCACTGACATTTATTTTTGCACGGATTCTCAAATAGAACACCAACAAGGGACGCTCCAGAAGGCGCCGCACCAAGCAAATCAAGAATGCTAAAAACATTCAACACTTCATGCTGCGCTCCGATCATCTACGTCGCAGTGATACCAGCTCCACGAAAACTACAACCATTCAAGAATGGTCTCTCTCCTTGTTTTTTCTCCCAGCCCTGCTCTTTATAGGGCTTCGCATTGATGCACAATGCCCGAAACAACCAAAAACCACCTTTCGGGCATCCTTCTCCTGGTCTTCACTGACGTTTATTTTTACACGGATTCTCAAGTAGACCGCCAGACAGGGACGCTCCAGAGAGCACACTTCTTAAAACCAGTCATTGAATTCAGCGCTGAAAAGAGAAAGAATGCCAGCAATGACTTTGAAAAAGATCTGTTT